GAGAGTTTTGCGAAGCTTCTTCAACGAGGTGTTTCGAATCACTCAGCGCCTCATCCGTGGACATGGGACTATAAACAGGCTTAGATGAAATCAGATTTAAAACCTCAAATTTAGCTGGGCTGCATATCAAAGAGACACTCTCGCTCGACTCTCAAAGGCAGAGCGTTATTTTCTCCTCCGTCACTGTAGGCCTACAGTAATATTCCTCGCCGCGTATCGGGTTCAAAAAAGCACGGTGAAATTCTGCGACACAGTTTCATTTAGAGGCAAAAAATGTAAACCATTTAGAGGCGAACTCTTTATGGTGTTTAATCCTGCGTTCCATCCCTGGAAGCCGAATTTATATCCCGCATTAGCTATCGTCTCGTCGGAGTATTGCTCTTCTCCCCGCGCGAGCGTTTCGGGGGCAGACAGCGGCCCTATCGCTCACGAGCACATGCACACACGGGTATTATGGGCTTATCTCATCTCGCGCAGCCCGTGCTAGGCCGCGGCTCGGTCCTACGGGCTACTTTACTAATAACCTTTTTCTTATCAGGCACCCTGCACCTCTGCCTGTGATCAAAGACCCAATTAATGGAGTGGGGAAAGGTGAAGCATTCAAATAATAGAGACAGCTGTTTTTCTCTGTTTGAAAGAATCCATTTGTATTGTTATCGGTGGAGAACAGTTCTCCAGACCTCGCTTAATTGAGGGTCTGTCAATTCTCGCCACTTGATAAAAAACTAGAGTTGAAACGCGCGAAAGGTGGTAAGTGGCAGGAATATCAGTGTTTCAACTCATCCTCGGCTTTATGATCTCTTAAACGGTAATAAACGCAGATAAGAGACGTGAGAGCTTCACAAAAGCATAGACCTCTTGGAAGATTCGTGCGATTCTCTGAAGGTTTTGTCATGGCTGAGCGAACGACGAATCCCGGGGTTCATTTTGGCGCGGGGGAGCGAAAAACTAGAGTTGAAACGCGCGAAAGGTGGTAAGTGGCAGGAATATCAGTGTTTCAACTCATCCTCGGCTTTATGATCTCTTAAACGGTAATAAACGCAGATAAGAGGCGTGAGAGCTTCACAAAAGCATAGACCTCTCGGAAGATTCGTGCGATTCTCTGAAGGTTTTGTCATGGCTGAGCGAACGACGAATCCATTCATTTTGGCGCGGGGGAGCGGCCGCAATTATAAAGGCTTTCGGCCGGGACGAAGGTAATTGCTGGACTAAATGTGTTGCCTTGTCAATGTTGCTGTCACATTTCTGGACAAAGTGGGCTGAATATTGGACGTATTAACATTTCAACATTAGGTAAAATGTAAAATGGGGGACATGGGAATTAAGTGACACTTTAAATACAGACCTTCCCTTCAGAGAGCATTTACTCTTCAATTCCCAAGGCCACTTATGTTGGATGTAGCTGGCATTTCAAAGGGCTTTTCAAAGCCTAATTTCACCTCAAGCTTTTCTCCATTCATGTATACAAATATACGGAAGTACAATTTACTCAATCTTTAACAGTATGTCTCTTACTTGAAGTAAAGTTTTAGGTTTGGACACATTTGTTGTAAAAAGGCCATTTAAATTGAGTTTAGAAATGCTTCAAAGTATATAATTCCCACATATTCTGACCAGTTCTATGACATTTCCAGTCCTTCGAGGTTTCTATAGAGATTGCACATGAAAAAATGTATGCTTGGTAAATCATAATTATGTGATATTAAGTCATAATTATGACACAAGTCAAAATTATATTGATAAAGTTATAACTGACAAGCAATTATAGGATAAAAAGACAACAACAAAAAATCGAGATATGTTCAATTATTACATAAAAAGTCAAAATTGTAAGATGAAAAGTCAAAATTGTGTTCTTATTATGTATACTTTATGTCATAACTGATTTACCAAAGTGCAAATAGGCTTTCATAATGGTGACATTTGTAGCCTGTGGCATATCTAATATATCTGAATATTCAATAATCTGAAAATAAGCAGAAAATGTCATATTAAAATTACCATGAGGTTTTAAAATGTTTTTAAGATTTATCCAAATTTGTCCTGGAAATCACAATGATAACATTCCTACATATTTTCCTGCTTTACATAACCATAGGAACCCTGTAAACAATTAAAAAAACATACTTTTACTGGTGCTTACCTTCTTACTGTACCATTTCACACAATCTTGAAGCTTTGTATTATAGCACTTCTCGTGTTCCTGCTGCTTTAGAACAAATTTCTGTTGTATTTCTAATTTGTAAGTTGCTAAATGAATGAATGCAAACGATGCATCCGAACAGAATGTATGCATGTAGAGTATTTAAAACAAAGACAAAAATAAATCCAGTATCCAATGCAGGTATGAACATATTTATTACACAGTAAAGAGTACAACAATACCAGAATCATACTGCAAAGATTCACAGACTGACAGACCATTTACTACAGCCCCCAAAAATGAGAGAATGAAATAAAGAAAACAGATTAAACAAGAAACCACAGTTCTGACATAGTAGGCTCAAAAACCCTAGAGTATTTGGAAACGGTGTGACAGAGTCCACACCCTCCCAGCCCACCTGTAACCTGTGGTTCATGTTTACGTTAAGTATTGCACGACTTTCATGAGTTTTTTTCACAATAAAGATTTTCGAAGAATCCTACGACTGCCCGTCCTGAACCCACCCGACCATTTCACTTAATGTTTCCATTGTCCCTTTATTATCCCAAAGTTTAATTCACTTTACAAACTGGAGAAAATAAAAACTTAACACCTGGCAAACAAGGCATGCGCAAATTCACCAGCCATTACTTTTCGCTCACGTTTGGTGCGAATCCCCCATAAACACGAACCTAAACGACACTGACAAGCGGCCAAGCGTGTCTCACAACAGAAGACAGAAATGGGGGAAAGGGGGGTGCAGGAGAAGAGGAGGGCAATAGGAATATATCACATTTCTCATCTTTGACCATGGATTGAATTATAGTGTATATCAAATGGAGTCAACACTCTTAAATCCTTTTTTTTTTTTTACTTTGAGTTGACTCAAAGCGATTTGTACACGTGACAAACTTAAAATGAACATAACATTTTTTTTTATTTTACGTATTCTATTCATTTTTTTTTTCTCATGAGGTCTGCATTGTTACCAAGTAGTGATATGGTTTGCAGCTATATGAGCTTTTAACTTTGGGTTTAAGTCCTGTTCTCATGTGCCCATTTGGTTTGACTAGACCAGTGTCCGCTCAGCGACTGGTGCTCCTAACGTGCTGTCAGAGGTAGAGTGAGACTTTTTGCCACCGAGGAAAAAAGGTTGTAGCAAAACAGACATACTACATTGGGAAGGAGAAGGAGGAGTTACTTAACGCTTCGTCCGCGCTTATTTTATTCAGGTCACCCTGATCAAACTCACTACACTATATGTATTTTTCAAAAATAGTGTTTCAAGACAGCTTAGCTGGCAGGTTCTCTGGCGATGCGGACAGGTGTCTTACACCTATGTTTTTTTGGATTATTTAACCGTAGCATGCCGGAGGAGGCCGGGAGTGTGTCCAGAGCCAGCCGCTCCTTCTAAGAGGTCAAATGCGCAGCGTTTAGCACCATGGTTTGGGGACGTGAGTCGTCAGAGTGCAGTTAAGTGCCCGTTTAGACCCCTCTTCCTCTTAAGCCATTGACGAGGTTGTTTAGTTTTAGATTCTCACATGGCTTTTAATCTTGAGCTGAAACACTTGAAGGTTTGGTTATGCGCCGTTTATGAACGAGAAGAGCTTCGGTTCGGTTGGGCTGGTTGCCTTTTGGAGCGGCGTTCTTATGACGAATCCGTTTCGAGGAATGATACGGAAAGAAAAGCGACGACAATGAAACTCGCCCTGCAGGATCTACATATGGGATCTGCCGTTTCGATTATTGCTCAATCATTCAGACCGCCTCATCCACACGTGAAACCCTCTTTTCTTAGGAACTGCTACATGCTTTTGAGTGGCTCCTCCTCCCTATGAGCTGAATAGGGCTGGTCTTGGCTCTGGACAGCGGAGAGTTAAAGGTTTTCGAATGGAAACATTGCTCAGTGTGGCTTCCCCTGATAAACACGTGGAGAAAACAAGAATGCATTGGAGTGAGTCTCTTTTGTCATGTTTAAATCTTGGATAAAATCAGGTTTTGGTCCTTCATGTCTGTCTTTGGCTGTCTTCCATGTTAATTATTTTGTAATACTGTGTATCCTGGTGCTCTGCAATGTTAAAGCTGTCTGTTTTACACCTCTGCATTTGGAAAGTTAGTTTCTTAGTGTCTTTTTTGTACATTTTTAAATTTTTTTGTAGAAAACAAAAACAACATATACCATAGCGTTCAGTATGCATATGCATGCACTGTCCTTAACTATTCAAAGCAAAATTTTTAGAAAAAAATGTTAACAAAAGCAGATTGTGATACTTCTGTTTTCTTTTTTTCTATTTTCTTTTTTTCCCTCTTTTTTTCATAGATTTTTCTCCATTTTTTAACAAGAAAAGAAAATCACAGATATGTAACGAAGCACTCCAAAGATAACCTATGAAGTGAAGATCCCTATGGAAAAAAAAACTGCCAAAAGAAGCATGCTGAGAGAAACCGTGACAGTGCAAATACATTTATGTACGTCCCATGTACAAAAACATTTATGTTAGCATTCCATGTAACATGCTAGTTCTCAGAAAAAAACATCTGAATGAGACTAAAGTAGCAGCTCTGAGAGATAGCGTTTGTCTTTTGAGGACAATGGGAAAAGTGTTTTTTCTTCTTAGAGAACTACAAGGGGACTAGAACAAACACATACGAATAGAAAAGCAGCTTGCGAGAGAGAGCGCGAGCGAGAGAAAAAAAGAGAAAATATGTTCTTCCTTTTTGCACCTAGAAAGACTAAAAAGTTGTGACCGTGGTTTAAACTATTAATGCGTCGTCACAATTGTCCAGCACATGTACAATAAATAACCATTGGAGACGACACAGGACACAAGTGTTTAACACAATGAGATCTAGAAGGGCAAAAAGAAGCAGAACGGGGTTAGAGATAGGCAGGACAGGAGAGGGCTCCAACAGCCAGTGATTTATGGGTAATTTCTCAGCCCTTTGTTTCCCAGTGGCTGTCACAGTGAGGTTCTGACAGTCCTGCTCTGGTGGGCCGATGACTTCACTTCCTGTTTTGGGAGCTGATGGAGTGCATTTGGGATCAGAGCTCAGAGCGCATCCTTCATTACGCCGTGTGGTACTCAACATCCAGCACGGGCCCTCCTCGCCCCTACATTCCTCAGTGAAACAGCTTTTTATTTCTCAGACCATTGACCTGGATATTATCTTGCAGAAGAGGTACGGACATCTGCGTTCCTTCACAATCTGCTGCACATCTGCAGAGTTCAGTGCGCGAGCCAGAAACGCCGTCTACTCCACCACGTCCGATGCAGATGCCCTTCATGGCGTGTTTTTTTTCCGTTGTGTTGACTTCTTTACAAGGAACGCTGTTTTTTTGTCTTTGATAATATTCGGAGTCTTTGCTTACATCAGCTATGAAGTATTTCCTTGGTTTTTGTCATTTAAAGTGTCTTTTAATGAGGTCAAATAGTTTCATATCCCAGCTACTGGATAAAGAGCTTTGAGAACAGAATGAAGGAGGAAAAAAACGATACAAACAAACGGAACGAAGGGGAGGTCAGATATACTCATCGAGAGGTCTTGGCTGTCTACTCCATTTGTCTTCTTATTTACAAGAATGTAAGAGAGCCACAACAACAATAAATGACATTATCAACAGTAATCGATAATAGCTGTAGTAACAATAAAGAACAATGAGAATTTCAAACAAAGAATATCTTTGCGTTCTCTATCATGGCAAGTCAATATGACCCGAAATGGACCTCCTGTGGGTGATCGCCCTAAGTACAGTTGGCTCTGTGTGACATCGGGCTGCATGAGGAATTATCTGGGACACTATCTCGTCCCCCTGTGCTTTTCATATGATATCCATGTTTTCCTAAAGATTTCCATACTAAGGAGATCGAATGTAAGCCATGGAACTAAAACAGCCCAGCCAAGTAAATCAGGCATGTACACATTACATAAAATAAAATAAAATCCCCAAGATGATATATAATGCAAAATATATTCAATTATGGAATATATTACCATCCCAATGAATCATTGTGCAGTATGTGAATGTTGCAGCTGTTCGCTAATACAATAACAATGTGTGGTAGGCGTACAAGCTGTTACCTCACTAGAGTCCTCCTGCTGGTTGATGACTGACAGCGCGTCCTCTGCCGCTTGTCTCTTGGCATCGGCCACCGTGCGGACTAATTGCATATGCAAATCGGGCAATTTATATTTAAATTATGCATTTCAATTGCACCCCCAAAGGCCCATGCAGATCAGGATATGGCACTGTGCGAAAAAGGGCTTGAATATACATCACCTACTGTACACAATCTTTCTAAAAAAAAAAAAGGACATTCACCCCTTATTACACTGTGGCAACTTGTGAAGACCGCTTTAAGGCAGTTGTGACTCTTAAACACTTTTTGCTTGGGTTGTGTAACCATCACTAGAGGCGTACAATGATTTTGAAAAAGGCATGCTGTTCTCGAGGAGTTTTAATAGACTAAACTGTCATGGTAGTCTCTTGTTCTGCAGAAATGGATGGCTGCGGTTGCGCAGACCCTCCTCCCCAGTCTTAAATATGAAGGATTATAGAGCCAGGGACATTTTCATCAAGACTGGACTGAATTGTAAAACCATGGTGGTTTGGTGCACAAAGTCGTCCTCTTGATGGGCTGAGGTCACGGAAAATGCACCACACTCCCTGATACATTTTACTGCATTTATATATGACTATTCAGATGGAATTTCAATCTGTGGTGATTTGTTTAGGGTGTTACTACTGCCGTTGTGATGCAAAGGCAACGTATTAGCTAAAACGAGCAGTCTTAGACTGTCTTTTGTAACATCACTTTCATGGAAAGGCTTGTTTGCTTTTATAAAGCCTTTGGTAAGACCACACAGCAAAGACAAACTGCTTTAGCAGATGCCTCTATCGTGTATGAGGCCAAGGTAAACAATCTGCTATTACAGAGTCCAACACTTGTCGTATTTCACACAGATCAACTGCTCTTTAAACAAAGCCTTTTAATATCTTTATCCGTCTTTTAACCAGCTCCTCTGCTGTGATAAAACAGAGTGCCGTGGAGAGCTGAGAGCCTGTTGCACAGCTAATGGCAGGAGTGCTGAAGTGCTGTAAAGGCTGGGAGCACTTATGTGTCCTGTTCAGCCAGAGCAATAAAAGAGCTTTATGATCTGACATCACTGTTGGAATGTGTAGAGGTGCTTCCAGTGAAGCCAATCACTGAACTGCCCAACACACGACTAGGGGAACATTACAGGAGTCAAACAAAATGCCACAAAAACAGACAGACATTTCAAATCCCACTAAACCTTCCAAGTGTTTTATCAGCTTCTAAAGATTTTTCATAATGTTTGCTTCAAAGAATGTTTTAAATAAAATGCATAATGACTAAACCTTCCAAGGGTTATATCTGCTTCTCAAGATTTTTGTTAATGTTGGTTTTAAATTAAATGCATGATGACTAAATCTTATTTTTGTCTTTAAAAGAGAACATTTATTTTCTATTTCTATTGTCATTTTTTGCAAATATGCATGACAAGAAAACAATAATAGTAGCTTAAAAGCATTACAGGAATTCAATCTGTGAAATATTTTATTTTTATTTATTAAATGTATCTTTATTTATTTGTAAATATGCATTTATTTATTGTTCTTCTGTTTTACTAAGATACTAATATTTGTGCTTTTTTGCCTAGTGTCCCAACGTCGTTATATATGCATCGTTTCTTGTGCATTTAATTTGTATTTTCCACCCTGATTTTTCACAAGAACCGCAATCTCAGGAAAACAACTTGTTATGTCGAGACCACACCAGAGTTTGGTGTGACACCGACCAGGTTCCCACCTGACTCTGCAGTTCTACATACAAATAACTAACTGACTGATTGAATTTCAGAGAGCTTTTAAATCACAGACAGGCTTTGAAAGGGCTCTGTCTGAATAATTTAGCTTTGGTTTTCCACCTGTGCTTATGAGTGTGTGTGCATGTTCAAAAAAAAAAAAGAAAAAGAAAAAAGATGGCATGCTAACCGGCTTTCTTCCAGATTTCTTCAGGTACGTATCCAGACACTGGCCTGTGAAGGAGCTCCCTATGGACATCTGGAAGAGAGAGAAAAAAGGACACTTCATTTACAATGAACTCAATACATGGTACAACCATTTTTCCAGTCGAAATAACTGACAGAACATTACATTATCATCAGAACAACTGACTGTAAATCTGTTCTTTTTAAGATCAGACATATCAGTTTAGATATATGAAATAGAACATAAACTTTTCAGGTGATAAAGACATCTCAGACAAACATCTTGTGCTGAATAAGTGTTACCTAAAGCATTGCTTTCTTGGCTGGCAGGGCTCTGCTGTCTGGACTGACTGCTGCTGGAGCTGCTGGTCTTTTTAAGATCTTCAGCATCACTGTAACGACGGATCCAGTAGTTGAGCTCCTCCCGGTCGGCCTCCTGGCACCTCCTCAATACCGTCAGTGAGCGACGTGTCTTCTCCACCATATCCATAATGCAGTTCAGGAGCTGCGGGGGAGAAGCAGGCAGAATGTTACCAACACAACATCTGCTCTAAATAGAAATGACAAATTTAGATATATAAAAACACGATGTTAAAGGCTGGCATTGAATGATGACTCACACCTCTATATGTTTACAGTCAATAAAGCACTAATGCCAACCCCTGACATAAAGTTAATGCTCTGAAGTTGCTCTTTTATAGCTCAGGAGACCTTACAACTTAAATACCAACTGATGTTTCTCCTAAAACTTATTAGACAAAACTGTACACAAATTAATATAGATATTTTAGAAAACTTTGAAAGACATGTTTGTATTCATGTTAACATCTTAGATTTTGGTATCTTTCACAAAAAAACAGGAGACTTAAAGCTAAAATCTCCAGTTGAGCTCAATATAATCTCACTGTTGTCTAGAAGATTGCAAAAAAACAAACAAAATAAAAACATGCAAACACAGAAACGTACCAGCAAACACACTTTTTGTGTCGTATTCTCTCTCTCTCTCACACACATACTTTGGATAGTAATAAAAAATGTTATTACTTTTCTTACATGGTCAAGGTGCTTATTTTAGAAAACTTTGAAAGACATGTTTGCATTCATGTTAACATCTTAGATTTTGGTATCTTTCACAAAAAAACAGGAGATTTAAAGCTAAAATCTCCAGTTGAGCTCAATATAATCTCACTGTTGTCTAGAAGATTGCAAAAAAACAAACAAAAAAAAAACATGCAAACACAGAAACGTACCAGCAAACACACTTTTTGTGTCGTATTCTCTCTCTCTCTCACACACATACTTTGGATAGTAATAAAAAATGTTATTACTTTTCTTACATGGTCAAGGTGCTTCCACTCTTCTGCCCATTCTCTGTCTGTAAGTCTGTGATCTATGACTTCCTCCTGGCGCGTGCTGCCGTGCATCCCTGACACAGAACGAGAGAAAAAGAGAGAGCGAGTGTTAAACGTGTTACTATTTGGGCCTCGGTTTTCCATTTCTCTTGCTTGCCCTCAGCGGCGTGTCGTGGCCGTCTGTTTCACAGCCATAGCTCACCCGCTTCCTGACATCCTCCATCGCTCACACACTCTTCATTCCTCACATGCTCTCATCCCTCACTCCTCTCTACCATGCAGCCTGCGGGCACGCTCTCTCGCTCTCTCCACACAGCACCAGAGCTGCCAGGCTTATGCATATCTCGTGCATATATCACTGGCTAACGAGTATTTTTAGCACATTTAAACCCGATATGGAGAGTTGGTTTTATGTAAACCTCAAATCATTTTTAAAAGAGTTTATGTTCCTGATCCAACTAAGCCTCGCCTGGTTTAACTTCTAAGAGTCTGAGTGGCATGCAGTGGACTTTTGAGGATTTGAGGCATTGGCAAAGTCAGCCTCGGAGAATGGGGCTTCTGTTGCTTTTATTTTCTCAAAATAATCTGAGAAATGTATTTAAGGTTTTACACACAGACACACACACACACACACACATATCACGATTAATCGCATCCAAAATAAGTTTTTGTTTACATAATATGAATACTGTGTATATTTATTATGTATATATAATTTATGAAAAATATGTTATGTTTATATGTTAAATATAAAATATAAGAATATAAATATATACATGTAAATATTTAAAAAATATTTACTGTATGTGTGTGTATTTATATATACATAATAAATATACACAGTACACATACATATATTATGTAAACAACTTTTATTTTGGATGCGATTAATCATTTGACAGCACTAAAAAACGTTTCCTGTGACTTTCTATATGTCTACTGTCTTGTAATTATTTTTAATTTAATTTACATTTTATTATCAGTTATTATTTATTTAATTAAGTAAGCACCTTTTCCTTTAAAAAAAAAAACCTTCTACTGTGACTTTCTATATTTCTGGTGTCTATTAAAGACTATGAACTGAATTTGAGCCTCATTTTATTTGAAACTTGTTTTTACCCTCGAAATTTATAGGGGTCTTGCATCAAAATGGAATATGTTATTCACACAAAGTTTGAGGATTGGAGGCATTGGTGACCGCAGCCGTGGAGAAGGAGGTTATATTGCACGTCTCAGACTCTAACAATCTTTCACAGCACAGTAACACTCTTATTAATGACTGTCCCCAGATGCTGCTGTAATCTCTCTCTTACCCAGAGGCCGAGGGCGGTCGCGGAGCTCGCGGTGGTTGGGGTGGCGATAGGAATCTCTGTAGTGGTGTGCAATGGCCATGTCGTCCAGACGGTAGTGCTGTGGAGGGGGCGGGGTGGGGTGCGGCAGGCCGTTGGGCTGGTAGGAGAGCCCGCTGGAGGGGCTGAAGCGCTGGCCAGGGCTGATAGTGCAGGGCCTCTTGTTGGGGTGCTCGGGATGGAGCGGCTCCCGCTCAAAGCCGTTCTCTTTGGTTCTGGAAGGAGACAGAAGAATCCAGAGTGAGGAACAGGAAGAAAGGAGCAGAAGTGTAAGAACACTAGACTGATATAAACTGATAGATAGAACAGTAGAATGACAGAACGATAGATATAACGATAGAAAGAACGATAGATAGATAGATAGATAGATAGATAGATGATAGTCAAGTCAAGTCAAGTCACCTTTATTTATATAGAACTTTTAACAATACAGTTTGTGTCAAATGATAGAACGGCAGAACGATAGAACAGTAGAACGATAGATAGATAGATAGCTAGAATGATAGATAGAATGATAGAACGATAGATAGATAGAACGATAGAACGACAATGATAGAACGATAGAATGATAGATAGAATGATAGAACGATAGATAGATAGATAGATAGATTGAACGATAGAACGACAATGATAGAACGATAGATAGAATGATAGAACGGTAGATAGAATGATAGAACGATAGATAGATAGAACGATATATAGATAGATAGATAGAACGACAACGATAGAATGATAGATAGAATGATAGAACGATAGATAGATAGATAGATTCTTCACAACTGGTTGTCTTTCCAGACATGTCAGGGAAAATGATGACTCACTAGTGTCTTTTATTTTTGTGTTTTACCACTCCAACAAGACAGACACTGTCTGACATTGAGATGTCTTCTGAGGACAGTGTGTTCATTGATGTAATGTACTTTCCTCCGCTGTGGGTCGAGGGAGAATGTGAAACTGCACCTAAGGCAGTAAGAGTCTGTCATCTAATGTGCTAAGTAGAAAAGCAGCTTCAATGCCTCCGTCGAGCACTTTGTTGTCAGTAAAAGGAGGTCTTGACAGAGCACACGAGGACCGTAAGAGATGTGCACTTACAGGACTCGCTCTGTGCCCCTAAACCCTAGGGCTTTCACATTGCTCTGCCCTTCACTTTCATGTGTCACGGGTCCAGGTGTTCGCAGATGCTGGTACTCGTGTGAGTCGCTGTGTGTGTGTTGTGAGGCGGTCGTCCCTCGGTTACCTCTGAAAAACACTGAACTTCCTAATGAGCTGCTTTTATGAGCTGCTAATGCGCATCCATCACCGTCCATATGCTCCTCAAAGCCACCTCTCTCCTCCACCCACACCTCCAAAACACAGCTGCCTTTAATTTATCCCAGTCTCATACATATTAATACCAATTCTAATTCTATCTATTCTTCATGAACTTGTGTCTCTGATTCAGGTACGGTATGTGATTTCCATGTGCTCATGTCTCCCATGTCTTTTTTCCATCCACAAAACGTCTTTTTTGATCTATTAATTTATTTACTTTGCAATTTATTTATTGTATTTTATTACACAGGTCTGAAATTCCCAATATTACTTAGCAAAATAAATTTGTATACTTTATATTTTTATTTGTGTAAAATCGTCTTTAATTCAAATGTATTTAAAATTTAGTACTGTTTTCATGTGGCACATGCTAAACAAACAAACAAACAAACATGAAAATAATTATAATACAAAGAAAATAAATATAAATAATATACAATACAATATAAAATATATACAATATAAAATATATATATTTTTATTCAGCAAGGATGTATTAAATTGATCAAAAGAGACAGTAAATGCATTTATAATGTTACAAAACTTTCCTATTTTAAATAAATGCTGTTCTTTTGACTAGGGCTGCCACTAACGACTATTTTGATTTTGATTAATCTATCAACTAATTTATCGATTAATCTAAACGATTAATTTCCCAC